TGGGTCACCAGTCTGCACTCCCCCTCATTCACAATGATATGATTTTTTGTTCTGATGATGCCTGATACCTGATCCCTTCGACACCTTGTGATCACACAGGCTAATGTGCTTCTTCCATGTGGGCTTTGTTGCTTCTGAGCTAGATGGCTACTTGTTTACCTTCAAACCTTTAAGACCCCAGACGCTCTATCTTTTGATAGCCGGGCACCATCAGCTTTCTTCACCCCATTTGCTTATTCACCCACTTTGTCTTTAGCCATTGTGTTGGGCAGGTGAGCATCATGGAATGCCAGTTTAATAAAACAAAATGTTCTTGCATTGAGGGAGTACTTGAGTGGAGGCCCAATATCCATCTGCTACCTTAATACTAAACCTATACATATATGTACAGGCTGCCTCCTGTCAGGACAATGATCTCTGGCAATGTCTGTACCCTTTGGGGGTCCCTTCCCCACTCGATCTGCTGGAGTGGGATTCTGTCCTAAGCCCCACCCCCACTATCCCTCTCCCCCAGGACAGGCAAAGAACAATACTGTGTCAAGAACAGCAGCAAGAGTGGACCTTCCTTCACCTGGCTCCATCCTTCAGGGAGTCCACCCTCCCTCATGCCGTCATGGAATGAGTGCTGCCCCTCCCTGGGCAAGGCCTGAGGATCTGGTGCTTGCCTCACCTGCAGCTCCTGCTACATTCTCCACTGCTGCCTCACCTGTGGTGCCTGCCGCACAGACAGCATTTTCTGTCAACAGAACTGCCTCTTCAGAGGCCCCTACCTTTACCTGCCACTCCGGCCTCACCTGTGCTTGTCACATTCTCCATTCCTGCTTCACCTGCCTGATCAGCAGCTTCTCCTTCAAATGACATTCTGCCATATTTAATACCCCTACCACACCCTTCTCTTCTCCACCTACCACTCCCTCAGCTGTGGCTCCTGCCTCACCTGCTGCTCCTGTCACATCTACTTCACCTGCCCTGTCATCTACTTCTAGCCCTGTGGGCTGTGGGGCGAAAGCGGGCCTCTCCTGTAACTCGGCATTAGGGACCTGGAGCAGTGAGAACACCCTCCAGGGTCTCCCTCTGCCTGGAATCTAGCGGGGAATCAATTTGTGGTTAAGCAGTCCTCAAATTCTACGAAGGTAACTTTGGTCCCCAGCTCCTTCCTGAAGACTTTGCCCAGCACTTGGCACTGGCCCAGGGGCCAGGGGGAAGCCCGGACGGCCTCCTGGAACTCGTCCTCGGCACAGTCTTCTGGGATGCCCAGGAGCAGCAGTGAGTGATACGCGTCCAGGCCCATCCACTTGCACCAGTCCCACAGCAGCATCTCCAGCGCCATGGCTGGGGACCTGGGGACAACCAGAAGGGGGCATTGCAGTTTCTACAGGGTACGGTCCCAACGAAGAGAGGGACGTAGGTGCCACCACCCCCATCCCCGCCCCCCCGGCTGCCCGCCCCAAGATGACCAAGACCTTACCACACTTGCACCTCTGCACTGTTTGCCCTGCCCCCTTCTCTCCTCCGCACCCCACCCCCCACCATAGCTGGGAGCCTGGTCTCCCCCTCTTCCCTGGTCCGTGTTCAGTCTATGTTTGTGTTTAGGAAAGTTTGTTATCAATGGATGATATTTCCCTAGAGGTGATTTGCTGTGCTGCTAACTTTCGATACGCATTGTGACACCCGTGGAGCAGAAGTGCTCCTATTTGTATCGTGCCGCATTTGCTTTGCTAACAGTTCGGACGGGAGGCTATTCGGTTCATGAGGGATACCCTGTAATTTTCGTATCTAGAGGATGACTTGGTTTCCAAAAGGTTGTGGGAAAATGGAATGAAAAGATAATGCATTTTTTCCAGGAACTGTTTGAAGCCCCCATGAAGCGTGGATGCACAAGTTTTTGTCAGGTGTTAGTGCCAGATTTATCTGTTTGTTTGTTTTCCTCAAGAGAACATTTATTAAAATCTTAATCAGACAAGCGCAAGACAAAGACAAATATCCAGATAAGGGAGACCATTAGCATGACGTCATAATGATATCCGAGGGTTTGCTGATGTACAGAACTTTAAAAAGGACATGAGGTCAAGGAAAACTGTCATGAATGTATGGTTTGTGGCAGATCAACATATGACATGACTATGTTTCGACCTTCCACTGCCACCACCAACCACACACTAATCTCTATCAATGACTCACCCAGGCATGCCTTAAGGGAGACTGCTCCGCCCCGGGCTGGTTATGTGGGTGGAGGTAATGCCTTTCTCAGTGCACTGTTTGAGAGAAAGACTTCATATCCCTAATCAATGATCTGAGGGGGTTCAATGAAGGCTTAACTACTTGGGGACACTGAAAGTAGATTTGGGCTTTCTGCCATCCATAGCCTTCTGTAACCTGGGTGCTCAGAATTTAAGTTCTGATACAATTCCTTCTTTTAATCATAGAGTTTATTATTAGCAATCTTTGGATCACACAGCCTGGTGTGTTCCTTCCATGTGGACCTAGCTGACACCTGTGGGAAACAGAAAGATTTCTCCCAAACTGTCTCCCCCAAATATATGTTAGACTTAGGACACTGCTTGCAGCTCATGGTAAATGATTGTCAAGTTACCTCCCTGAAGGCAGTCAATTGCCAGACAAGTGTCTCCACTGGTAGGGTCGCTTCCCTGCTGTTAAGGACAATGGACTCTTTCTCCGTAAAAGGTTGGGACCATTAGCTTGGTTCCTGTAGGTGGAGTTCTCACCCTACTGATGATGTTCTCTAGAGTTGAGCCAGAGAACAGGTCAAACTGGCTCAGTGACATCCAAAGTTAGGCTGCCATCCTGAATCTAGGATCTGCCCATCTTGCCACATGTATACTCCCAATCCCTCCTCTTCCTATTGCATGTATACTCCTAGATCACCCACCTCCCATTGCTGTATTACCTATAGCACAACCCTTTCCTGTGCCGTATGTCTTCACCTGTAATTAGGGGGTTTGCATGTCCCCAGAGAATATAAAAGCCTTGGTTAGCATTAAATATCTCTCTCTCTCCACGTGGGCCAGCAAGTGAGGCTGAGGTGAGCATTGCTACATGGAATGTGTCTGACTCCATTGTTTCTATCTCTCATGCTCTTTATGACTTTACTATAATCTTTACTCATTATCACTGTACAATTGTGCCTACTGGACCTGTGATGATGTGTTAGGGACTGGATTTCCCTCACAGACACTTCACTTAGATGGTTGCGTGCTTCAAGACAAGCCTTTAAGACCCTGGACGGTAGAGCAGGGCCACATCTTAAGAACTGATTGTCCTTAGATTAGGAGTTACAATTAAGCACATGCTCAAAACCCACTCACATATCTAATGATTATATATATCTCTGGTCTGTTTTAGTGCAGATACTATAACTTCCATGGAACCTTTGGTAACTCTAATAATAGTATCATAAATCTAGGTATAGAAGTTAAAATACTATTGAGAAGAGGAAAATATACATATAGAGGAAAGTTTTTTAGATGAAAATACATGAAATGTTCACTTATAAAGATGAAAAAAACTGACTGAACCCTGTTTAAGAAAACAGTGAGGGTTTAACATGAGACACAAATTTCAAAAATGCTTATTCACTGAGGAAAACCTATGCAGAACTAAGACATATCACAAAAAGAAAACATATAGAAGAATGTGGTAAATATATGGTGGTCTCAAGTGTCTGATTATTGGTCAACCTCAACAGCAAGAGGTTTGAACTGAAGTCCAATGACTTCCAAATCCACGACCTTGGGATCACAGTCATCATCATCGTCTCATACTAGATAATTGCATCTTTAAGTTCCTTTTGTCTACAACAGGTGTACTTAAGACAAAGTCCAGTACACTTCATGAGTTTTCCAAATATGATTCTTCTGATGTGGTCAATGAAGAATGCTGTACACCTGGAAAAGGCAGTCCAAAATCCAGATATCCTATAGTGCGATGCCTGGGTTACCAAAGGCCAAAAATGTATGATTATCAGTATAATAAAGGATTGATTCTCCTATTTGAGGGGGGCGCTGTCTATATAAGTAATGTTAGGTGTTTTCCCCAAGGGCAAGCTTCCTCTTCCTAATCTACCCACC